TTTTCTATGTTTCTTTTCCATATGCCATTTTACACATACTTCAGAAAGTCTTAATAATAAAACCTAGCACTCTTCATACACTACTGTACATCATTAAAAGTCTCTTGTGGATTAAACTGTAATTAGTTGTAATGAAAATTGCTGAAAAATCATCAACAGGGTAAAACAGCTTCTGCTATGTTAACTGCTTTTAAAACCAACTTTTCCATGTGTTTTACATACAAATGGTTTATTCAATACAGAAGTTGCATTATTTGAACAAAAAAAATTCTACACTGCACAATCCAATTAGTATCACTATTATACACAAGCTCATTCAAAACAACATAGTTCTTTGTAAGTTGCTGCCCTTGGCATATAAGGACGCATTTTCAAAGCTAGCTGCTCAAGAAGATTCAAGATTCATGAAAAGCTGTGGGATCATTACTCCAGGAAAAAAAACGTACTGCAAGTACTAGCCATAGTACAAATTATAATTTGTATTCTATTTTTAATTTGCCATGAATTCCTTGAAAACCTTATTAGCAAGGGACAAGGGACAATGGACTGAAAAAATAGTATTTTAGTTATACCAGAGTTCATGCATCTCTAGTGCTACATCTTGGTCACCAAGGAAAGGGTGGGGAGGGGAGACATTTTGTACCACCCTGCTTCCCAACAGTAACTGTCTGTGCAGTAATGAAGTTCCGCAGATCTCCATTCAGACTTTAGCTTAAATAGTATCTCAGAAACTTGCCAGTTATGCAAGAGGTTCACTGAGATAAAACAGCAACCCAGACTGAGGTGGTACAGTAAAAGGAAAATCACAAGATCTTTTATGGATTTTAATCCACAATCTCTATCTTTCGATTTAGTAGTCTGGAACATGTAGGAAAATCCAGGCATATATAACCAGCAGAGATGCAACCAGCAGGACTGCAATTCTGCAGACAACATAATAATCATATTTCTATCTGAAAATGCCTGCTACTGTACATGGCTTATGGTCCTTGTTTCGATGTTGCACCCAGGATCCTCAATTGCCAAAATGGTAAAGCATTTCCTTACACAAAGTATGGAAAAATCGAGATTACCCTTTCCCTGTTGTAAGGCTACCATGCAATGCTCTCTCTCTCTCTTATAACTGTAAAAAGATAACTTATTGGGCTCTATTTCCAAAATATAAAATATTTCAACCAAAAAAAAAAAAAAAAAAAAAA